TTACACAGAAAATATCTAGTGTCTAGTGCCTTATTTGAGAGACGCTGTATTCTAGGATATGGATTTGCCTTCAAGTTTGATCTAAGGCAGCAGTCCCCAACCTTTTTGGCACCAGGGGCCAATTTCATGGAAGACAATTTTTCCACAGACGGGGCAGTGGCGGGGGATAGTTTCAGGATGATTCAAGCACATTACATTTATTGTGCACTTCATTTCTATTATTATTACATTGTAATATATAATGAAATAATTATACAACTTACCATAATGCAGAATCTAATGCCACTGCTGATTTGACAGGAGGCGGAGCTCAGGCGGTGATGTGAGTGATGGGGAGTGGTCCTAAATACAGATGAAGCTAAGCACACTCGCCTTCCCGCCCCCCGCCCGCTCCCCCCGACCCCCGCAGCCCCACTGTGTGGCTGGATTTCTAACAGGCCAGTCCATGGCCCGGGGGTTGGGGACCGCCAATCTAAGGCACTTGGCTTAAGTGGAGTCTAACCACTACTTTAAGGCAGTTAACTCCAGGAATTTTCAAGATGGCATTAAAAAAAAAAAAAAGTTTAAAGAGCTCATGCAGAACATTGAACTGGAAGCAGAGCATTGTACTGAATTTATTTTTGAGATGGAAGCCATAAAACACCTCCTCAAACCACCAAGTTTGGGGGCTGCTGGCTTTAGTTCAGACTCCCTCTGCCAAGTCTCTCTTTCACGAGTTAGCTGGGCTCCTCAGGCTGTCCAGTGGGTGATACTCCTCCCCACTAGGAACACAAGGGGCCTTTCTTTGGAGTCGGAGCTCAGTAAGCTGGTGCCTGTGCTCTGGGCCAAAACTATCACAGAGCTCCCTGAGTCCAGTCTACACGCCATGTGTTTGAGGAAGAATCATGCCTGGCTGTGGCTCCTGAAAAAACAAGGTTTGCCCCCTACAGAGCAGATCACCACCTTCTGACTTTCCTCCTATGGGATGCTGTTCATGAAAGCTGAGTCTGATTCAGGGTTGTTATTTTTTCCTCCTAGTTTAGAAATGGGAAAGGAAGGAGACAGTGTTTTCTTGGTATACCAGAAAGCCCAGCCTTCAGGATACAAGGGTGGTACTGTCTATGACTGAGGAATGGCCAGGTCTTGGGGGAGGGAAGGACAGAGGACCAGAGGGAGCAGGAGATAGATACAGCTGGGCTAGCATGGTTGCGAGAGTGTGAGTGTGTGTGTGTGTGTGTCTCAAGGCCATGAGAATGTAGCTCAGCATGATTCAAGGATGACACAGCTGCTTCAGAGTAGCAAAGGGGCCATTTCCTGGTTTTATACTAATTTGTTCTTTTGGGACTTTTTAAAGACATTTTTTCTTCACCCAAAACCACTGTCATTCATTATTTTCACTTTTAGCTTCTCAGTTATCTCTGAGGTATGAAGATTATCTTTATCTTATAATCAGAAATCACAGAGTGAAAGAGTAATTCCCCTGCCCTAAGTAGTGGTGGAACTTCATCCTCCCATGTCTCAGCCCATTCAGACCAGCGGCTCTTCTGGTCAGACTGACTTTGGAATATTCACTTTGGTCTGGGGGCAGGAAAAGATTTCCTTCTATCTAAATTTCATTCCCAGTAGTGCCTGAGGCTCTTTGTACCTTCAGGGTCATTGCTGTCCTCTGTGGCACTTAAGGGCTGTGGTGCCGTTTCCTCTGTATCCACCCTGCTGTGCCGGACTCTTCTTTTTCCACCCTCTGCAGAATCCATAACCTGTCTCATCCTAGTTCATTCAGTGTGAAAATGACTTCTTGATGACTATCCAGGGATCAAATTAGAGATGTGGCTCACAATCTCACAATCTTGCAGACTGAACAGAAAGCCACTGACATACCCAGTGAGATGCAGAATGTATCTGGGGCCCAGGAAACACGGGTGCTGACTGTGCACACCCTTCTCATCCTAAGTGGGCAGACAAGACCCCACACAGATCCTTCCCAGAAGAGCTCAGCCCTCTGCTGCTTATCCTTGAAGACTTTTGCCCCAACCCACAGTCCAGGGGCAGCTGTGACTGAAGCCACCCAGAGAGATGGCTAGGCCAGCCCTCAGCGATCCCTGTACCATCTGGGACAATGTGCTATGCTCACAGGTGAAGAGGCTTCATCCCCAGGTCACTAAGGAAGACCCCAATGAGTACATGGAGTCAGTTGTATCATTTTCCTAACACCTTTACTTTTTTAAGCAGTTGCTGCTGCAGCTGCCCAGGCCTGGGAATGCTTCCCCCTCCTCAGGCCTAGCCTGATCATAAAAGGAAAGTTACTGTTTGTGGCTGACTCAAAAAGTGTCTTTCGGAGAACAGAATGCAAGCCCCTTCCCAAAAGTTAGCTTTAGCCATTGACAATTATTCTTGAATAGCAGCATAGCTCAGACTAGTAAAAAACTCAGTTCTGTGTGAGGATGAGACAAAATATGAAGACCTACTGTTAGACTAAAAGTCACTTCTGAATCCATTCATATGGCTGCTGAGTGCCAAAGGAGGGGCACAGATCTAATCACTTGAGGGGAGAAATGATTGCCATCTGGCGTGGTCAGGACCAGCTCCAAATAGCAGATTTAATTAGAGCGATGTCTCAAGGCAGGGGTAGCTAGTAGAATGGGAGTGGGAGGGCATCCCTGGAGAGTGATCAGGATGAGCAGGAGGTGGCACACAGAGAACCCAGCAAGCAGTGAGCAGCCTGCACCGGCTGGAGCCAAGAATTTAGATGCGTAAGACCAGGCTGGGGCCAGATTGTATAGGGCTTTAAATGTCAGGCTAAGGAATTTATCAGGGGGATGAAATGATCAAACAGGTGTTTTAAGAAGATGAATTTGAAGAGAATGTGCAGAATGAATTGGAAAATCTGGAAGCATGGCAACAATTAGGAGGCTGTGAGATTAATGAGGCTGTTGTAGTAGTCCTGTGTGAGTTGATAAGGGTGTAAATGAGCGCGGTGGCAGCAGAAATGGAAAGGGACAGCTGCAGGAGACATTGTTAAGAAAGAACGGATGAGGTTTGCTGCCTGATTGGATTGGGGACCCAGGGAGCTCCAGGAATCAAAGATGACACCAGAGTGTTGAGCGTGGGCAACTGTTCGTACAATGAACAGAAAAAGGGATGTGAGAAGAGAGAGCTGGCTTTAGCCAATGTGAATTCAGTTCCAGACACAGAGAGCGCAGGATATCCAAGTGGAAATGTCTGACAGGTACCTGGAAAGGTAACACTGCAGCTTGAGAGAGACATTATGTTTGGTGATGAATTTGGGAATCAAAGGCAGAGACGTGATAAAACGAAGTTGTGGAATGAATGAGATCTCTAAGGAAAAGCAAATACAGTGAAACAGAGGACCAAAGACTGACCTTTGAGGAATGTCCATATTTAAAGGATTTATATTGCAAAGCTAAGTCTAGAAAGCACCACTCTACACGCTGCATGTCTTCTCTGTTAAAATATCAGCTTAAAGTATTTATTAGTTTGAGAAAGCCAAACAACACAGCATTTTTATGACTCAGTGGGAACTAAATTATAAACACTTAAGTATGCCTCTAAAAGAAATGTGGCTTAAGTAAAGGCTGATATTTACAGAGGAAGAAAAGGATAAATGAGACAGTGAATGTAATCTAGAAGATTGGTGGATCTGATCCCATAAGAAGTCAAGCAATGAACAGAAAAACTTGTGACACATATCCTATAAATAACATTTGATTAGAGATATTTATTCATTTTAACACAAGGACCAAAAAACTTTGCCTTATTTGCAGTGCACTGTCTTCCTGAAGGGTGAATTCAAACTAATTCACCGAAGCATTAATAAAAGCTGTATTTCAGTACAAACTAGCTCAAATGTTCAGGAAGAAAAGCTAACACAGGAAAGCTACTCAGAGTACAGTAATCAATACTAGACACTAGCATGCAAACAAAACATCTTTTCTTTTTTAGTGTGTACCCCCAGTCTT